GGGTCGGCGGGGATGTCGAGCGTGGCTCCTTTGTCCGGAGAATCTGTTCGGGGGTGAGTAACTCATCGCCTCTGTCTGCGCAGATGCATTGGCCTGGTTGGCACATTGTTGGTGTTGTGGCTTGGGGTCCCTCGTTGGGCGGTGCGGTGCCGGGTAGCTGTGGATTCGGGCACCTTCTGGCGCGCTTTCTTTTCCCCACGTTGACTTCGTGTAGTCCTCTGTGGCCGTCTTGGAGTTGACATCCCCAGGTCCCACACGCATTTGTGCGTTGAGACGACGTCGGTGTCGATGGCGGGGTTGCGGGCGGCTGCTTCGGTGATGTTGGCTCCCTGTTCCTTGGTCCGTTCTTCTGCCTCGGGGGGCGTGGTGATGAGACGTCCTCTTCCTCTCCGTCACTGTCGTCGCTCAGCTTTTCGTAGCAGAGTAGGTCGACCTCTTCTGGTTGTGTCCAGTTGGGTGCTGCCACTTCGTTGTCGCCTTTCCCGCTCCCCTTGTGCGCGGCGCGTTTGCTCTCGAGATCGTCCGTGGGCCCCTCTCTGCGGGCTGCGTCGACTGCTGTGCTGCCCCCCGTCAGGTAGAGGGCTGCCTCCGTTCGAACGAACTCCCGCGGCGCGCAGAGGTAAGTGCCGGCGTTAGACCACTCCACTGCGTTTCCGTTCGGGTAGTAGTGCCCGTCTGCCGGTTCCAGGCAGTAGGGGCAGCACGTATGGTATTGGAACCATCCGGTGACGCAGGCCCGGCAGAGAACGTGCTCGCATATCGGGTGGGGGGTGGCTGTGTCCCTGAACATGACTGGCGGTTCCTCCGCCGGGACCCTTGTTGCGCATCGCAGGCAGCATTCCGGGCTCGCTCTCGCCTTGCCTGCTCCCCTCTTCTGCGGCGGTGGAGGGGATGAGGGTGGCGGTGGCTGGGGGGGCGGTGGTGAGGCCGGCGACGATGGGGGCGGTGGCGATGAGGGTGGCGGTGGCTGGGGGGGCGGTGGTGGGGCCGGCGACGACGAGGGCGGTGGCGATGGGGATGGCGGCATCGGCGAGGGCTGCGACGGCGAGGGCGGTGGAGGCGGCGGCGGGTGTGGCGACTGCGGCGGTGAAGGCGGCGGTGGCGAGGGCGGCGGCTGGGAGGGCTGTTGAGGCGGCGGCGAGTGTGGCACCGGCGGCGTTGGGGGTGGTGGCGGCTGCGAGGGCGGCGAGGGCGGCGGCGGGGACGGCGGTGGTGGGGGCGGTGGCGGCATCGGTGTCGGCGGCGAGGGCGGAGGTGGCGAGGGACGCGGCGGCGGGTGA